TAACAGCTACACTGACTGAACGTGAGATGTGCAGCCAGTACCTCACTGGCTGATGCCTCTATGACTGTGAAGGCCTGGGAAGCCTGACCTTTTTTCATTTTATTCTCTCAGTCCCAATGTTCCTTTATCTCTCAAACAAAGGTTGTTTCCCATTTCTCAGCAGTACCCCTTTTCCCTGGCAGTCACAGATGCCAGAATCCTTAGAGAATCTCAACACACCTTTCATCTCTCTCTCACCAAAGTACAAACCCATCTGGCCCCCTGCTGGTACCTTCCCTGATTTCCTAAAAGGCCATTTTAGATAGAGAGAAACAGTGTGCTCAGCTGTCTGAATGATCACAAAGCCAGTAACAAAAACACCCAGCAGCAAAGCCAACCACAGCATCCTCTACCAATTTAAAATGAGAGTTTTGCCTTTTCCTTCCTAATATGTGCTAGCTTATAGAGGAACTTCATATCTAGATGTGAATGAATGGTAGGACACATTTGGCCAAGACACCTCACATCTCAAAGCCTTATAGTTCCCTGGATAAAATAAAGGCAAAACATTACTCCGTGGGATCTTGTCCTCACAGAACATGGTACGCTAGACATGGTCAACGAATGCTTGTTTTCCTCTAGTCTAAATTAAAACTATGTTACTACTATGAGATGAGTCTTCCAGCCATCTCTCCCCAACCCTGCTGTTTATTTGGGGCATGTTAACACACAAACACTAAGACATGGACTTGGAACTGCAGAGGGCCTCTGATGGATAACACAAAAACCTAATTTATCCCAACTCAATTCTGTTAGGACAAGAAATGCTCAGGTAACCAAATCGCCATTGAACTATACAAAGCACTGCAAGCGGGATGAGATTGCAATGTGTGAGAAGGAATGTGGCCTTATTTATGTTAAGTCTTTGTTCTTCACTGACTCGAATTAGAAGTGTGCTTTCTAACATGGCTCCTACAGACTCTGTCTGGTGTTAGAGGAAAGAAGCTCCCAGAAGCTATAAGTCCAATACTTGACAGATAAGAAACCTTAGCGCATCTTGAAAATGTATTAGGAGACATTATCTTGACATATGATCATGTATGGTGATGGTCCTCAGGTACCATCATGTACGTCAGCATACTGCTATCATAGGTTGTATTTCCTCCACAAATTTTTGAATTAATAAGCAGTAACTTCAGATATCTGCCCCAGGTTACAAGGTAGTAGCTATAGAATCTAAACTACAGCCTCTAGATATTGATTTCCTATAAATACTCCTAAATTAGGCCATGACATGACTGAACATATATAGAAAAACTCCAGCAGCTATGGTAAAACAGCCCCCAATGCCTGATATAAGCCCATGTGAAGAATGCAAATGTAGCAGTCTATGACCAACACATAAAGGGCACTTCCTGATACTAATGCCTTGTATAAACACTTGCAAGATTGCACTCATCAGATGTGTTCTCTGTCTGAGCTAAGGTGTATACTGAGGCATGAACCACAATTCTATCAAACACCCAGTGCAGTACTAAATGGTATGCAATGGGAAAACAGGTAAAGATATATTCACTTACTCTTGAGGGACAAGGAAAAAAATCATTATGTACACGCACTGTGGCCAGTGATGGACAGAGAACAGAGAGGGTCTGGGGTTCACTTATTAGTAGACTTACCAGTATTGAAGAGTGATTAAAAAGCCTTTCATTCAACATTCCTCAATTCAGGTTATGATCTCAAGAATGAAATGTAAAAAATGATTTGGGTATCTGCCTTTTCAATTCTCCCTAGGAGGAGTACATGGCTTCTACTCTCTGATTTCTTGGGAGAGAAAGTGAACATCTTACCCCCATGGAAGTTATGGATCTTTATGACTTAACCCTCTCATAAAGTCCCACTGAGAAGAATCCATAGTCATCCAGTGCCCCATGAAACATCAATATCCTACCAATACAAACTTCCAAAGACAGTCATACTTTTGCTCTGTAAGCTCATTTGTATTCCTGTTATTAAAAAAAAGTATTTGTTCTATTTGGAAAACATACTAGAAAGATCAAGAAATATTTGTATATATTCAGACTATAATGCAAATAGAAAGAGACTGTGGACATGTTTATAATGAAGAATATTAACTGGATTTCATAGGCAAGTTAAACCAAAATATATTTCTCTGAGGTATTTGGAAATTATTTCCAAACTTTCAGTTAATCAACAAATAGTTCCATGCCATCAGCTTCTTAGATGCCTGGGGGATGTGAAAATTAAACATACTTGGCATATTTTGCCAACAGATGGTTGATTTTCTTCCTCTCCTTACATTGATTTACATCAACAATGAGTGATTTATTCCATATCATGTTTGGGTCTCTGGCTTACAGCTGGAAGTGTATAGTTGGTAGATAGAGCAGAGCTAGGTAAGGAGTCAGTACTGTTAGAAAGCTTGGTAGGGACTGGGCATTGTGCCTGGTACTTTGCACATGTCATCTAAACCAGTCCCTCTGAGGTCATTGTATTACCATTTCCTGTTTACACACTAAGAAACTTAGGTTTCAACAGCCATAGACAGAACTACAATTCCTTCCTTGATTTATGTTGTTGGGGATATTCTAGTACTCTGCAAAGATTCCTCCAAAGAAGAGAGAAATATGGGGGAATTTTACTCATTATGTTTTCAGATTTATACCCTCTATTGTGCAACAGATAACCTCTCTGCAAAAATTTGGCAACCTATAACTTGCTACACATGAGATCAAAAGAAAGGGGATTCAGATAATGAAGAAATCAAAATCTGCAGATCTGTAAGCACAACTAGGCTATATTTCACAAGAGAGGGTTACCACAACTAGGCTATATTTCAGAAGAGAGAGTTACCACATGCCCAAAGACTGAAGCACCAGTGAACTTAGGACTCAATAATGGTGGAAAGAGATGTGGTGGTCACTAGAAGGCAGTATAATTGCCTTTTATTTTGTGATCTGGTACTCAGCTGAGTTCACAGGAGTCTTCATTGCTTTTCTTTTCCCTCTTGAAATTTTTACTTTTACTAATAGTCTTTAAGTGGATTCAGAACTTAAAGTGGGGAGAGGGGAGATAGGTAGCACAAATAACTTTCACACATTGTTTAACACCCAAACTCCAGTGTCTCCTGCCTCTCACAGAGCTGCTGTGCCCTCTGTACCCCCTAGGCATTTAGTCCTCAGGACCTGCCACTGAAAATCAGCACTGTTACTAATGCATTTCCCTTTGCCCAGTATGCAGTGCCGAGGCACTTTCAGAACAGGGGAAGTTCTTTCTGCTAAGCCCCCAAGCATTAATATTTATCAGCATGCACTCCCCTGTAGGATGAATGTTTTATGATCAAATATGAGTGGCAACAAATGGAAATTTCAGCCACAAGCCACCCAGTCTTCCAGTGCTGCAGCATACAGGACAGGCTTCCCAGCACAGGCGCCACTAGAAGAGTCCTACTCATTGTTCTGGACAAGGCAGCAATTGACTACTGCCCATGGGGTCATTCAAGGCAATAATCAAGGTTATCAGCTTTTGAAATCAACGAAGAGCAACTAAAATGAAACTGGGCATTAGCATTATATTAATCCTATGTCTAAGAACTAGAATACATATAACAGGACTGAAGACCATTTCAAAAGCTCAGAATCATAGACACATTTTAAATTTAAATCAGATCAGTTCCCTAACAATTCTGAAAAGAAGAGATCCATTGCCTTCCCAGGTTTGAACAAAAGCATGCCTGTCTCAGGTTTGCCTATTCATTCCGTTTATTGAGTACATTTCATCTTCCGGGAACATTACACTGTAGGTCTGGAATCAGGATCAAGGTCTAAAAATGACTTACATGAACTCTTCACTATTGAAAACTGCCCTCACTAAATCACTCTGTAATGCCTTTAACACATGACTCAATCTTACTCCAGCATCACATGCTGAGTTATTACATGCCGGAAGAAGCAAATGCATCTCATCTGTATAATTAATGGATGCACTGTACAAAGGCACAAAAGTAACAGCCCAGTAGCATCTATTACTGTCCTGTCAATTTCAATGATTTTTGTGAAGAAGTAACCATGCTGGGACTGTGTAACAGTGAGCTTATTGAACAGCCTCTTTTCTTCCTTTCCTGGTGAAGCTCTAACCTAGATATTTTAGCAATAGTTTGCCAATACAATTTATGCCCAACTTGCTCTAAGCAGCATGGGAAAAAATCAGGCCTGGATGCAAATTCCAATTATTTGTCTAAACTTTTGGATAACTCACCTATTTCTTCACCTTCCCATCTATAAAATAAACATAATGTATCAGATAGGATTGTAACACAGAATACAGATCCTATATAAAGAGGAACAGGTCGAGATAGATATGGCTTTTGATAGTAAAAATGTCAAAGGCTGTGCTGAAATTGCTCTATTTTACAGAGTGCAATTCATTACGAAACTAAAATAAAAACAGGAGAGATGGGGAACAGAACAGAGATAAACTTTTTAGGCCTGATTCATTTTCATCTCATGAGATGGTAATTTTATAGTCAAGCTCTTTTGTATTTAAGGACTGTTATTAAGAATATTGTTGATTTTAAACAAGTTTCTGGTTGCTAAGTGAGACTGAACAACAAAACTGTCCCTTTCCCCAGCTCCTGACCCGCATTCTCCAGAATATGAACTTCTATAGTACCTATTAAACCATGGACATGAAAGAAGAAAGGAAGAAAGAAACATATCACTTAAATTTTAAAATGATGTTTGGCTCAGTAACAAGATATCCATTTTGAATGAAACAGTTGTCAGTATATAACTCTTTAACACAGCGAAGGCACTAACTGTAGATCTGGTAAGAAACACTTCTTGCAGGATATTCTTCTTTCAAATGGGATGTTACCAATAATCTTCCTTCTACTCTAACTCCAGAAAGAGTGTGTCATCTGTGCTTTCATTCAATCTCTCTCATCCTCTGTTGCACATCTTTTCTCCTCTCTGACTTTGGCTTCATTTTGCTGCCTCTAGGTAGTCCGGCCATACCAGACCATGTCCAACCCCATGAGCAAGCTCACCGTTCTCAATAGCATGCATTCCCACTTCATCCTTGCTGACAATGGGACCACAGGAAAATATGGAGCAGAGGTGAAACTCCGCAGACAACTGGAAAAGCACATTTCACTCCAGAAGATAAACACAAGTAAGCAAGCCACTCTTTCCACTACCATGCCTCCTAGAAAACACACTAAGTAATTAAGCATCCTATGTGGTGATGATATGGAAATTCAAGGAAGCTGTATGGAAGGATGATGTACCAGCCATCCTTCTTCCTTAGTCAGTGAACTGAATGAAGGAATCTATCCAGGGGAACATCATAGAAGCATGAGAACATTAACATAACTAATGGGCTCAAGCTCAGTTTTTTCACACATCCAAAAGTCAGCCCCATCTGAGGTTTAGGAATGCAGATAAGCTTTCTCTCAAACTTTTCCTACATCCTTTGCACAGTACCCCAGAGAAGAAAGCCACTCCAGAGAAATGGCTGCTATTTATTAAGCCTTTTTTGTTTGTTTGTTTGTTTTTGTGCCTAAAAAAGCAAAACAAATCAGGCTTTGATCTCATCACAGAGGAATCTCAAGGGAGTTGGATGTGCTTCTAAACTAAAGCATGCTGGTCAGACATGTTGCTCAAATTCTACCACTGTTTCTGTATTTATGTGGATACACATTCACTGTCTCCAGCTACGCATTCGCTGTATTGTATTTGAACACTTGTTTATGCCACATGGTATATATCTGACAGCTACAATCATTTCTCCCAAGGACTTGTGAGCTCTGTACTGAAGTTGTCATATAAATGTTTGGCAGTAAAATGAAAGGATGCTCCCCTGGTCATCTACTAAGTGTCCTCTCAGAATAAAATTCTTTTCACAAAGTGACATGTAAGTTCAGACTGTATAATTGTCTATACCATGGAAGCTTGGATAAAGTTTATTACAATTCTAAAGCCAGTAATCCCAAAAAATACTAGATTCTCTTTGGCTACTTTTCAAATGTTCAGTGCCATGTGATTCAACTGGTCCAAATCCCATCTTCACTGCCTTTGCCCCAGAAATATTTTCCCTCCTACAGCCACCTTCCCCACAGAGCTGGGATGTCAGGCCCTCTGGCCTCGACTTCTCTTCCTAGGCACTCCTCTCTCTGTGCCCCTCCTGCTAACTTAGCCAAGCTTCATACTCTCATTCTATTCAGAGTAAAATCTTGAATAGTAAATTTGGCTCATCTGACATGAGAATTATGTTAGGAAACTCCTTTTTTGACCTTTGGCAGCTGTAGCTTGTGGGGGAAGGGTGCAATAAAAACACCCAAAAAAATTAACTGATTCAAAAGCTGGAAGAGACCATTGTCATCAGCCACTGCCATCAGTGCTTCCCATCATCTCAGAATTTGAGAGAATGAATGGGGAGATATTATATAATTATTACTATTTTAAGTTATTTTAGGCTATAATGGTACCCCCCTCACTATTGGTTTAGATATGAGAGTTTAATGGGAAACAAGCTGGAAACTGAAAGACATGAGAGCAAGGACACAAGAGATTACTCAAGGTCAAGTTGAGGAGAAGACAATAAGAAACTCTCTCTAGACCAGCAAAGCGCATCCCTGCCCAGTGGCTCCTGCAACAGACTTGCAGCAAGCAGTGTATAAATAAAACAGAGATAGATGTGTAGTTGCATGAGCTAGATACCCAGCTGATATACAAGGTGGAGTTAGATTAGCCAGAACTGTTAGTTGAGCCTTATGCTTGACACCTGCCCAGATGATAGGGTGCCTTTTGTTCATTCCAGAGAGGACACTTCTGGCATATAATTTATGTGCCTGGAAGGATGCCTTTATCCAAAGGTTTTTAAAGTGCTGAATACACAACTTGCCTTCCAAGAAAGGGGCAACTGAATAAGGGACAGGCATGGAAGACCCTGAACAATCACCTCATGCCAGTGAGCAGCAGAGCCCAGACAAATTCTACCATGGCAGGTGGCTAGGGACACTAGAGAAGAACCAACAAGAGGTAGTCTCTGGAGTGATAACTCATCAGGGACACATCTTATCTTATTTGTACAGACACTGGACCATTGTTTTACTATTAAAGAAGGCAACATTTTTGGTTCATATTCATAAGTGGGAACACATACAAGGAATATGGATACAGAAGAGGAACATGGATCCAATTGTTGAAGGGCTTCTTTTGTCCTTCTACTCTTCTAGTATAAGCAGTAGCAGGAAGTGGATTAAAGAAACCCTTTAGACCCCAAAAGTCACAGGAATCTAAGAAGAGATATGTCTGGGAGCTGCAGTAAATGTCATGAGTTAGAACCTACCATTCTGGCATTAAACTCATTGAAGCTTACCTGGCATTGTCCCTGAACCCTGTGAGATGAGAAGTCACTAGATGAGTGATTGAGTCCTTAGTTATAATGGACACTTCACTTCTTACTGTGCTCAGACCCAAAGGGACAAGAAAACATCAAGTTTCTCGGATGTGAGAAGTGACCCAGGCTCCCTGAGAAGATTCCATTCACTTTTCAGCATGAAAAAATTCCCATGACAACCACAGAAGTCCCAAGAACAGATCTGGCTATAACATGTATCAGCCTAAGAATATCATCATTTGTGGCAACCCTGCTCAGTGTTTGAAACAGCAATTCTACCTTCTTATCTGAGCATGCTTTTTGCTTTGTTATCATAATTAGCGATTAGTGATTCATCCTTTTAATAATTAAGTTTAACTATACAAGTTCTAAAAATTCCACTTAGGTTTGCATCTCCTGTTTCAAAATGGAAATTTCAAAGAACTCCATTCTACAGTAATAATCCTGCCCACCACCTTTTATATCCATGGTGGTTTTAGGATTATCAGGACACACTCAGCACTCTCCTTCTCAAATACCAAACCTCATCAATCAGGAGTGAGGTTTCAAAGCCTATTTACACACAAATGGTATCAACTTCTAGAGCACACATCTGTTAAACTTAAAGTATATCCTGTTCAATAGATTCTTAAGCCCTTTCTCATCAGCATGCCAATCATTAGTAACAAAAACACTGAATGTCTTCACATTTAACGTGGACTCTGACATCCATTATCCCACCCACATCCCTCTCCACAAGTCAGTAGGAAAGCATTGTCAGGGATTATTGAGGGCTCTGCTTATAAAAGAGAATTCTTTTAGACATGAGAAGTTGCTTGCTTTAAACTATTCAACATCTGCAATTTTTTAAACTGCAAACTTAACCTAACAAAGACAATGCCAATTATTCCTTTAGTAAGCAAATATCTACTGAGCTCTTAGGATATACTTACTATTGTTAAGATCTAGAAAAACAGAAATAAATCATTGAGCTTAAGTCAAAGATAATGGGTAATAGGAAAATAAGTATGTGTTATCTGATAGTAATGAGTGTTATTAAGATAAATAAAGCCAGATACATGTCTAGAGGATCATTTATATTAGTCAGGTGTGGTCTGCAGAAGGAATGACATTGAAGCAGGAGCTTGAATGAAGAGAGCAATAGCTGTAGAAGGAGCATTGTGGGTAGCATGCAGGGACAGAATCAAATGGCCCTCAATGAAGGCATGAAAACCTTAGTAAAGACTCAGATTTTATTACAAAGAGTTTGCATCTAAGAACTTAAATATGATCACCACTGTGCTTTAAAACATCACTCCAAGGAATGTAGAGATTAGACTGGGTGGTGGATGTCACTCTAAACATGTATAGTGGACATCAATCTGTTGGCATGTAGAGATTGCAATGGAGTGGTGGACAAAATGAAAAGCCAAAGTTGCATTTAGGAGAATCTCACAGTAATGTGGGGCAGACATGGTATTGTTTGAGTAAGCTGCTGAAAAGGTTGTAAGTCTGATCAGATGCAGGATATAAAACATAGACGGGCTGTCCCAGAAAGGAGTATCTAAGAGTCTCCATGATATAGTTCAGGATTAATTTCCAAACATATGAAAAATTAGAGCATGTTTTGATAGCACAGACATCATCTGACTGTCAATAACACATACTACATCTTAACTGCATTTGCCAACTCAAGCCCACTCCTGTTCCCTCAGTGCACATCCCACAAGTTGCATCCTTGGATAATGCCAAAGGAAGTCCAGACAGCACATAATCTCACCGATAAATACCTCAGTACCAAAATATTTCTATCTTGTATTGGCCATTCATGGGCTGTAACTGAGTGCTATCATAATGGTAGTGATCTAGAAATCATTAAAAATTCACTTATTTCTTGAAAAAATAAAGATCAAGAATGACAATGGATTTTGAGGGCACCAAAATAAATAGGGAGAATTCATTCTGGTTTGCTGTAGCACACAGGCAACTCTTGTTAACTCTTCTTACCATATGCCTTTAAGTGACTGGAGGAGACATTTGGAAGTCCTACTATACACAGTAAAATGATGACTAATGTTGAAAAACATGGAAATTCTTATTACTCTGCTTTGATTACTGAGTACCTGTGTGGCTGTCAATCATGTACTCCACAAAGACAAATACTCTTAGTAAAACTACATTAGTTTCTTATCCATTTCTTGAATTACTTTGGTCACAACCACATCCATGGATACATTCAAAATACATTGTATACATGTATAAAATTTTTAAAGAATATAGCACTTAAAATATACTATTTTACTGTTGAAAATGTATCTTTAATGTTGGACAATCCTCTCTTCCACTGTCAAATTCTACCTTCAGCTTACCAAAAAACAATATAGATGGTGTAGTTCTCAGTAACAAAGGTTATAAATTTCCCTAAAGCTATAACTTTCTTTTAAGAGTTTGAAAGAAGGATTATTGCCTTGGGGAGAAGAGGAAGTTTGCCTATTGCATGTGTTATGAAGGGCAGAGGCAGACAGATTTTGGAGGGCAGAGTATCATAGTCCTAGAAGTTTAGGCGATTTTTCAGCTTTCTCCTAGTATTGTTTGTGAATCCGTAAGCCCACAATGATAGTTCAAACAGTTGTGACTCAATGGTGAACACATGAAAGAACTGTACCATGTTGCAGTTCAGACCTATGGTCCCTTCTGGCCTCTCAGTAGAAGCTGAGGACCATGTTTATATAGTCTCACTGCCTTATGTCCAACCATCACCCTGAGCCTCTGCTCAGCAACCTGTCAGAGCC